TCTCGGGTACTGACTGCACCCATCCCCCAGCACTTGACGGTATCCCCAACCCTGGGAACTTGATCCAACTCAAATGCCTCAAACCGGGCGAGGAACGGACTTTGGGGGCGGGGGGTAGAGAGGGCTCCAGCCTCCCCCTTGGCGAGCTCCTTCTTCACTCAGGTAACTTCCACCCCAGGGCGCATCTCGCCTGCGGCCTCATCACAATCCCAAAAAAGGATGTGCCTGGACTGAGATCTCTTGCTCTGTGGCTAGCTAGCTGCATCAGCCTCTGAAAAAAAGAAACAAAGCCGACCCCTGGTGGAAGAAAATGTAAGTTTAAGAAGATAAGGAAGGTTTGGGGGAGCCGCATGCCCAAACGTCTGTACAGGGGAGAAGAAAGGCAGAAGGAAGACAGAGAGCGCCGAAATGGATAAATAATGGAAAGGAAAATTAAAGGTGGCAGAAAGCAGGAAATCACATAGCAGCAGGTGGAATTCAGGTGGACAAAGCTGGAAAGAATGAGACTCAAAGAGCTCATTTTGGGGGCCCTTGAACCAAGTATGCATCAAATGCTCGTGGCCTGGCCAGTATCAAGGGTCAGGTGGGACCCTCTGATTTCTTTTCTTTCTCCCCAGGGAAGGTCTGGCAGTTCTACGATTGCAGAGGGCAGCTGGAGGTTTCTGTTAGACACTGGCAGCCACTGGCTGCCTGACCCAGAGAGCATCCAGATTCCAGAAAACTCCTCTTTTCTGTAAACAAACTTCTGCCTCCCACCATCCTGACCTCTCAGTCTTAGCTAGGTGATGGTAAGGCAAAAATCCAACCTATCAAGGGAAAACTTAGGCTGAGAATGCAAGCCCCATTCCTCTCTATTGTTTAATTGTTTTCTTAAATATATTTTTATTGATTTCAGAGAGGAAGGGAGAGAGAGATAGAAACATCAGTGATGAGAGAGAAGCATTAATTGGCTGCCTCTTGCACTGACACCTCCCCCCCCAATCAAGCCCACAACCCAGGCATGTGCTCGAACCTGGGACCATTCAGTCCGCAGGCTCCCGCTCTATTCACTGAACCAAACCAGCTAGGGCTGTTATTTAATTGTTGAATTTTAATGGGGAGCATCTGGGGCATGAGTTTGTGTGCCTAAGGGATGGCGGTATCTCAGGCACTAAAGGAAATCAGTGATGGGAGAACCACTGTACTGAAGCCTCTACTGATGTCCAGGGTCAAACAGTTAAAAATAAAAGAAGAAAGAAAAGGTGACATCAAAGATAAAGATCTCACTGATGAGCAAGTCACTGTTTACCCCGAATGAGCACTTCAGGTTAATCAAGGGAGTGCAAGGGTGGCATTTATGTCCTTCAGCTCTTTTTAAAGCTTTTTTTTTTTTAATCCACTATCAAGATGTGCCTCCAAGTTGCTCCCTCCTCACTTTCCTACCTTATCTCCATACTCTTCTATGTGTCCTGATATTATACAAGGGTTTCTTCACACACCCATCTCTCCTACACCTATGACACATTGGGAGCATTTTCTTTTCCCAGAAGTCCACCCCTCCCTCAGTACCCATTTATTCAGAACTTTGCCTGGGGTCAGTTCTCAGGAAATAATTGTTGAGCTGCTGACTATCTCTGAGATCTCATATGTTTGGGCATATGAGCCAGCACTGTGAGCAGGGTGGTTCTGGGCTGGTCTTTCTGGAATCCAGTATGAATCTGGTATTGCCACACCTCAGCAACTAAGAACAATTATTGCTGTTACAGGAGGCTGTGTTTGAGTGTATGGTAAGAAAGAAAACCCATATGCTGTGCTGTAGCTCTCCAATGCAAGTGTCAAAGATGGGGGAGAGGAAGGTGAAGTGTGGGCAGACACGCAGAGAGCACTGGAGCTCTGAAATCTGTTTTGAGTGAAGCATGTCAGGAGGATCAGATTGGTATCCTGGATAGAGAACAAATAGCCTCTCTCGATAGAAATTAATGAAGTAAAAAAAGAGAGAAATTAATGAAGTAGTTGTAGCACATATTACTAAGAGGTGAGTCCATGTTCTGGTGAGTAGACAATGTTATGCCTTATGCCCCACAGAGTTTTGTCAGTGACAGTATATGCCCCTTTTGGAGTTTCTCCACGTTGCCTCCTGGTAGAGTCATCATCAGCTCCAGTAGAGCCTTGACCTCTGACCCAAATGGCAACCTAGGCATGAGATGAGGGATCTACACTAATAAAAGACAAACATGCAAATTGCCCGAACCTTTGCTACGCCTTAAGCCACGCCCACCAGCCAATCAGAGCAACTATTTGCAAATTAACCCTACCAAGATGGCGGCCCACAGCCACGGAGCTGGAGCAAGCACTAGGCTTGGTTGCCCCTGTGATGGAGGAAGCCAAACTTCTTGCCAGCCCTAGCCAGCTGTGGTCGCCACAAAAGGCAACAAAGTTTCAATTATACAAGCTAAATAAATCCCAGATACCTGCTTCCTGCCAGCCTCCAATGGGAGCTTGGGTGGCTGGGGGCTGTGGCCAGTCTGCAAACAGCCATCAGCCTCTCACCCAGGCTGGCCAGGGAACAAA